GGGAGAAGCAGGCTTCCCGCCGAGCAGGGAGCCCGATGCGGGGCTCGATCCCAGGACCCCGGGATCATGACCCGAGCCGAAGGCAGACGCCCAACGACTGAGCCACCCAGGCGCCCCATGATCCTGCATTTCTGACAAGCAGCCAGGTGGTGCTTATGCTGGTGGTCTGGGTACCACGCTTCACACAGCAAGACTTTCGATGGTAATGAACTTTCTGGGAAGGGCGGCCTTGGTTTAAAATTTGCAGAAAAGAGAACAAGTGTTTCTGTAACTTTATAAGAGGCCTTTTCTTTATGGCTCTAGCATGAAGTCATATGCCAAGCTTCTTCCACGTTGGCACTGATGTCAGGGACGTGTTGGTGTCGCAGGCTGACTTTTTCAGGGGAAAGCAGAGGCTGTGGGTGAGCCCAGGTGACCCCGAAGCTTCCTGACTCAGCCACCACGAGATGGCTGAGGAGATGGAAGAGGAGCTTAGGGGCCCAGAGAGGGGGCAGCATGGAGAAGGCAGAGTTAAGGCAGGACCAAGAGGTGCCGGAAGAATCCCAATAGAGAAGACAGACATCAGGGAGGAGAGGCTGAGTATGGCAGGAAGGGGTCCCCTGCTATGCACACTGTCAGTAAGTCAAAGTCTTGATAAGACACACTAAAAGGTCCAGAATAATTCTTTCAAGTGGGCCAAGGTTGTGTGGCCTGCTGGGGCACCAAAAAGTAATTTTATCTGCTTTACCATTTACCTGGGTGCGGCCTTGGCAGGAAACAAAAAGAAATGAAAAGTCCTTGGGAAAAGCAGAAATCTGTGGTTTCTGAACACATGCTCCCTGGAGATCCCCACAGTGGCATCTTCACCCATATAAGATTTTCCTGCCAGAGGCCCAAGAAAGGTTAATTCTGGAAAGCCAGTGTAGTTGGGCCTGGAGGGCAGGTGGGGAGAAGGGGCCATTTTCAGGAGAAGCAGGGCTGACACTGACCTACTCCTTTGGACCACCAACCCAGGCCTGCGGTTTCTTCATCTCAAGACAGAGTTGATGCTTCTCGGTTCCCCACGCACAGTGGAGGGCTCTGACCTTGCCCTGGCCGAGGCTCTATTTTGCCCACATGGCCTTCAAGCCTCTCTTATAAAATCAAGGGCTGGCTCAATGGAAAGAGTCCTAGACATTATCCAGGGAATCTCAGATTCTTGGAAGGGAAGTCACTCGGTTAAAGTCACATAGGAAATTTGCTGCAGAACTGGAATGAGAACCAGCTCTCCTGTAGTCTGGTCCAGAGCTCTTTTTACAAATCTATCCTTGGCCAGAGAGGTGGGTTGGCCAGGTGGGGCCCCAGCACGCTCTTCTCCTTGACATTCAGGACAAAGGTGAGTAAGGGGAGAGGCCATGGGGGAGTGGAGACTCTCAGAGCTGGCCGGATGCTGTCCCCAACACCACGATGAAATCAGGCCAGGGGCCTCTTGAGAGTCTACTTCCCTAAAGAGGTCATGACATCTGCAACCACCATTGCGTCACCAAGGAATTTATTACAGAGACACAACCAACCCAGAAGACAAGCCAGCACAGGGAGATGACAGTGAGGACCACCTGCTTGGGGATAAGGGCAACCTACCTTGTCCTGTGACACCCCGCAAGCCCCATGTCATGCCACCTGCCCTTCTCCCCATCTACAAAACTTACTGCTGATGTCAAGTGGAAAATGAGTCTGCTCTTGCGGCTTCCGAGGGGGAGGGAAAAATCTTCCAATGAGCTCTGCAGCGGGTAAGGCAGAGGCCTGCCCCGTCTGTAAGGTTTCTGTATGCCTGCATGTCTTCTCTTTCCCTGGCTGATATCCACAGCCCCTGGCACCTGTCCCTGGAGGACGGAGTGTGTGTGAATGTGTGTGTGTGTGTGTGTGTGTGTGTGTGTGTGTTGAGGTCATCTTGCAGCACTACTTGGGATGACAGTGAGGACGAAATGTGTCTTCTCTGTACATTGCCCTACAGAAATCCTTCTTCCAAACAACTGCAGGGATGAAGCGGAGCCCACCTAGGAGAAAAATGTTCCTAGGAGAAAAATGCCGAGTCCCTCGATGTGGGGAGGGGGGCGGGGGGGCGAGCTGCCAGCAGACTCACTTTTTGGCAGACCCGCTCTTGTTGATGAGGCGACCCTTTGCTTTCTTCAAAGGTCATGTTGTTCTCCTTGGGGCGGGCGGGGGTGGGTGGGTGTGTGTGACTCTGTTGGCCGAGGAGTAGGGGCTGGAGGCTGGTGTTTCAATGAGGGATTGTGTTGCAGCCTGGGGCTGTTCCAGGAAGGCCGCGGGGCCCAAACTCCCCAGAGCAGAAGCAATGCCCCAGTCCTCAAGGCACAGATACTGCCCCCTGAAGGGGCAGGCGAGTGGAAGGGTGCCCCTGACAGGGCAGTCTCCAGCCTCCAGCCTCAGCCCCCTCAGCCGCTCCCGGGCAACACACACAGAAAGCTTTGAGTGCCTGATCTTCACTTGCCCCACACCTGGGCGATCGCGAATAATGCTGCAGGGAACACGGGGTATAGTTATCTCTCTTGCCTTTTGTGACAACCTGGGTAGGCCTTGAGGACCTCATGCTAAGTGAAATTAAGTCAGAGAAAGCTCTGGTATGTTCTCACTATATGTAGAATCTAAAAAAGTCAAACTCGGGGGCGCCTGGGTGGCTCAGTCGGTTAAGCGACTGCCTTCGGCTCAGGTCATGATCCTGGAGTCCCGGGATCGAGTCCCGCATCGGGCTCCCTGCTCGG